TTTTTTACATGAAATATTCATGTAGTACATAAACAATACAATGGGAAATGATGAATGAAACATTAACAGCGTAACACTTACCTTTATTGGAGATTCTTCTTAGTGTATGGGAGACTGGAGGAGGAGGAGAGAGTGGATTGTTTATAGTTTGGAAGGGGAATCCCCTTCCAGCAACACCTCAGGTACCATTTGCTTTTCTGGGGTTGCTTCTTTTCTCTGTTTCTTAATGCCACTAGGACCAGCTTGAGAGTCACTGGAGTCCTGTCTCGCAAAATAACTGTGCAGAGAGCTCTGTTTCTGGCGTCTCTTTAAAACTTCCCTAAAATGGGCCAAGACTCTGTCACTGTACAAGTTGCCGATATGGCTTGCAACATCCTTCTCTGGGTGATGTTTCTCCATAAATCTTTCCATCTTACCCCACATAGTAAAAATCTCCTTAATTTCTGAAGAAGGCACCTTCTTCCATCTCTCTTCCTCCTCCTCTGCAGCAAGATTCTGAGCTGCGATCTGTTGCTCTTCCTGCTGAAGCTCTTGCAGCTCCTCAGTGGTTAGCTCTTCGTTGTGGTCCTCCACCAACTCTTCCACATCCTCCAAACTCACATCTAACCCCATGGAACTCCCCAGTGCCACAATAGAGTTCAAAGCTGACATAGGCTCATCAGGGTCAGCCCCAAACCCTTCCAAATCCCTCTTGTCGACACAATCTGGCCACAATTTTCTCCAAGCAGAGTTCAAAGTCCTGGTAGACACTCCCTCCCAAGCCTTACCTATAAGGCTTACACAATGGAAAATACTGAAATGTTCTTTCCAAAAATCTCGTAGGGTCAAGTGAGTGTCTGAGGTCACATTGAAGCACCTTTCAAACATTGCTTTGGTGTACAGGTTTTTAAAGTTTGTAATGACCTGCTGGTCCATGGGTTGGAGGAGAGGAGTGGTATTCGGGGGCAAGAACTTTACTGAGATGAACCCAAACTCCTTCAGAATTAGGTCATCCAAGTTTGGTGGATGAGCAGGTGCATTGTCCATTACTAGCAGGCACTTGAGATCCAATTTCTTCTCCAGGAGGTAATTCTTCACACTAGGGCCAAACACTTCGTTGAATCACTCTACAAAAATTTCCCTCGTGACCCATGCCTTATTATTAGATTTCCAAAACACACACAATTTACTCTTCATAACATTATTTTTCTTAAATGCTCTGGGATTTTCAGAATGGTACACTAGTAACGGCTTCACTTTGAAATCCCCACTAGCATTAGCACAGAACATTAGCGTCAGCCTGTCTTTCATAGGCTTGTGTCCTGGCATTGACTTTTTCTCTTGTGTAATGAAGGTCCTCTTTGGCATTTTCTTCCAGAAGAGGCCTGTTTCGTCACAATTGAACACTTGTTCAGGTTTCAGTCCTTCAGCCTCTATGTACTCCTGGAATTCATGCACATATTTTTCAGCCGCCTTGTGGTCCGAACTGGCAGCCTCACCATGCCTTACCACACTGTGTATGCCAGTACGCTTCTTAAATCTCTCAAACCAGCCTTTGCTGGCCTTAAAATCACTCACTTCACCACTATTTGCAGGCAATTTATTTACCAAATCTTCATGCAACTGCCTAGCCTTTTCACAAATAATCGAGGTCATAAGACTGTCTCCTGCTAATTGTTTCTCATTTATCCACACCAATAATAACTTCGCAACCTCTTCCAGTACTGGTGATCTCATTTTTGTCAGCATATTTACCCCCTTTGCAACAACAGCATCCTTGATTTCCTTTCTCATGGCTATGATGGAAGATATGGTTGAATGATTTTTGTTTTTACATCCTCGCCAGTTCGCCCACACGTACGCCACTATCATATTGTTCAATGATGTTTTTCTTAAATTCAATGGTATTTCTCACCTTCTTTACCAAAGGTTTGGCACTAGGAGCTTTCTTTGGAGCCATGGTAGCTTATTTAGCACTTAAATAACTTGCAAGCACTAAAATAAATGAAATATTATGAAATATTTCACTGGAGCACGTGAGAGGACCGCCGCTAACTGGTAAACAATGGCACACTGGCTGGGAAGGAAGGCTGAGGCAGGTCGAGGCCCGCTTACCTCATGCATACGCGTCTGGGACGACGGGTCGAGACGGGTCGATAAACGAATTTCGGTCAATTTCCGAGTCAATATTTTGTCGAAAAAAACGGTTGATTTCCGAAATGGTCGACTTTCAGGCCGGTCGATTATTGAGGGACCACTGTAATTGGATTTACATTATTTCTTATGGGGAAAATTGATTCGAAAATCGTCCATTTCGATAATAGTCCCACTTCCAGGAACGGATTATGGACGATTATTGAGGGACCACTGTATTTTTGGCCAATTTCGGTGTACTAGTCAACAAAAATCATATATATTTCACTAGAACTCCATTTTTTTCTATCGAATGAGTATAAGAAACCACCCATTTACCGATTTCAAGTATCCAATAAAGTGGTCAGAAATTGGCAATTTTGCCAATTTCACACAAATTTCAGAAGATGCCAATTTCCAAATAGGGTCCAGAATAAACAAGACAGACATTCCTGGCACTAAAATATCATTTTCTCTGTTCATTAGCCACGTCCCCAGGCCCCTCTTACATCTCTTTTGCTTTCCACTTTGAATTTTTATTCTCACAAAAAATAGAAAATTTACTGTTATGCATTAGTGTAGAAATGGTGTAGAAATGGTATAAATAATATCAGTGTACTTGTGAAAGAATATTAGACTTACCAGTTGACGTGTATGGGACGCTTGGCATGATTTGTTTACTTTCGAAATTTGGTAAAAATTGAGCATTTCTGCTACTTTTGAGCTCAATTTCAAGGTACTTTTCATTAAGAAACCAATCAAAATTATCTCAATTTCTGTAATATGTCTTCCATTCTATAAAATGAGACCAGAAAAACTAGAATACAACCATAAATACCATACAAAAATACACTGCAAAGTCGCTGTTTTAAACCAAAAACACGGTACGGAGTTTTTTTTTGTCATTATGCACTGTGTGCTGCAGGATTTTTTTATACCATGCACACTGACCACATAGACCCATTCTTTCATATGTAGGCCTACCAGCTTTCTCTCACAAGATTTGAAGGTGCTAGAATTTAGGCGTTCTAGTACGTCAATAACCCTGGTGCGTAATCCGTACTAGTACGTCAGAAACCCTGAAAGGGTTAACACGCTGGCCATCTCCCAGTGAGGTAGAGTGACTCGAAAAAGAAACACTTTCACCATCATTTACACTACCATTGTCCTGCCAGAGGCACATTGTTACGACAGTTCAGATGTCCCTTGAGGCCCTGAGACATAAGAAATCAAAGGCGATGTAAAAACATTTCACAGGATAAGTGTCTTCAGCAACCTTGTTTCCTCAAGGGTTCACCTCGTACTGTCGCTTACTTGAGCTGCAGATACAATGGAGCCTGGCAATTTTAGTCTCTAACACACTATTTACAACTTCACCACTTGGTAAATATAACCTGCCACCACTACATATCTGAATTTTCCGTCTAACTTTTCATTTGTTATGCAGGTACAACATTGATTTTCTGGACACTAATGGTCCGGAACCAAACAAAATTACAAGCAGGAACTTGAAATTCCCATGGCAATGTATTTACCACTAAACTGTGTCACTTATCCAACCCCAAGACCAAGGAATACTGTGCTCTCTAAAGGCAGAAACACCATCAATCTGGAAAGGCTTTGGAACCAAAGGTCCGAAAAATCGATGTTGTACCTGTAATTTAGTATTTAAATTTTATCTAGAAAATTGACATATGTAGAGGGTGACGGACCTGTGTATAGGGTGATGGACGTGTACACAGGGCGATAGATGTGTGTAGAGGGTAATGGACTTTTATTGTGTAATTAGTTTTTTCAATTATTCAAAATTACATTTCAGTAATGTTCATTAGGTGGAGGCTAACTATATTATATTCATCGGGAAATACTAAACCTGTAGGGGTCATACAGTGCCTGAGGACTGGGAGGGAATCAGGTTCTAAGAAAGGAGAGGATAGCTCCCATTCCTTGGTTCAAGATCTCTTCATTGCCATCAAGGAAAGAGGTTTTTGGAGAAAATGAAATGAAATCTAATAGCATACTGGAAGTGTGCAGATCTGCACTGTACTTGCTATATATAATAATTACGCACACTATGTACAGGAGGGCCCCATCTGTATGGCTCTTGGGTTTTCGACCCCGTACAGTAGACAAAAATCAACAGTGGGTGGAAAAGCGTTTTTTCATTATCAAATGCATCTAAAATACCTGATAGCATGTACACTGTTATGTATTAAGTGTTCAATACAGCTAGGCCTAAAAAAATTGATAAAGTAATATAAATACAGCCTCTCTTCACTTAACAATGAACTTTGTTCCTGAGACTACATCGTTAAACAAATTCATTGCTAAGTGAGGAGCATACTATAATGGAAGTGAGTTTGTGTCAACCATCTTTGATATTGTTTTAATGTCACCTTTGCACCATTTATGACATCTCTGGTATATTTTTAAATGTTTATACAGTAGTGTACTGTATATTGAAATAAACGGAATAGAGGAAATCAGTTCTAATATACATTATCGAGGTATGAATACTGGTCAGAGAGCTCGTCCTAAGTCCAAGGTGTCAGTAAACGAGTACATCACTAAGTGAGGAGAGGCTGTACACAGTGCATACTTCCCTGAAATTATGGTGCCAGTCGCCCTTCCTTTATGCAACTGTTGTATGAAAATGGCAGAAAAGCAGTAAAAGCACTAAACATAATAAATAATGGCTCAATTGAAAGCCAACGAAGAGGTGCCTGTATATGCTGGGTCCTTCTGTATATATCAGTCAATGTACATTGAGTTTACCTTAATCCTGAACAAGCAATCAACAAATCACAAGTCTCACCAGCAACTTGAAGACATACCTGCAGTTGGAAGAACAACTTGCAAGTGAATAGCAAGACTAACAATTTACTTACCTCAAGGTCATTGGTGGCACAAATTTGTCAAATGCAGCACAACTGTTGCATAGGTAACCTCCATAAAATATGTCGCCATCGTACGATATGTAGACTGATGGTACCTGAAAATAAGATGAAAATTATTTATTTTTTGGAATGTTTAAAGTCCATGTTGGATGGTGGTAATAATACTACATACACAAATTAAAAATTAGTTTCATATTTTTTGAGACACAATGTTTCGTTACACAGATCACTCATGCTGAGTGACCGTTCAGTCAAAACTAGTCTTTCAATGACACATTAAGAAAACAAACTCATAATGACAAATGTTGTAAACAAAGGTAACTGACAAACTAGGAATGTAAAACGCATACAGCAATAAACATTTTTTTAGATGTTACACCCTAGGTAACCTTCATAAAGCCTTATTTAGGACAAACTATCTTAAATAAAAGGTTTGCTCTTCTACATGTTTTGCATGACAAGTGTGGTAGCAGCTCTCACTATCATGGTGGAGACTCATAGGAGACACACAAGCACCTGAGAGACCAGTTTAGCTGCAGGTGTTTAATTATATTCACTATGTACTTAACTTGTGTTGGTGTTTTGAATGAATGACACATAGTCTCTCCCCTACTTATGTACAGGTTCGGTTCTGAGCGAAGTCCATTTGTTTGTAAGTCCAACATACGTATGTATAGTATATGTAAACACAGGAAAAATATATACTGTACACTAGTAAACTTTCTTTGGCCCAAAAGGAAAAACGAAAGTTTCTCCTTAGACGTTTAGTAATGTATACAGGAGCAGGGGTTACTAGCCCCCTTGCTCCCGGCATTGTAGTCGCCTCTTACAACATGCATGGCTAACGGAGGAAGAATTCTGTTCCACTTCCCCATGGAGAAAGCTAGTAAGCATGTGTTATAAATGAAATAAAGTTTATAATGGTTATACTAAAGTTTGTAAATAAAATAAATTTAGTGAAAACAGATGGTGAGATAACATAAAAACAGACGGCATTTGTATTATCGAGAGTTTTGCAACACGAATGTTCATATGTAGGGGAGTCTCTGTACTTCCTGTGTAAACACTGTCATAACCCAGAGCCTCTGTTCCAAAATTAGGACTGAGTATGAATAGGCACCTTTGATATACCTTTGCAAGACTAAAATTTTTTTTTTAATACACCGGTTGTCTCCCACCAAGGCAGGGTGACCCTTAAAAAGAAACATTTCCACCATCACTCATTCCATTACTGTCTTGCCAGAGGGGTGGAAATACTAGTTCAAACTGCAAATATTCCCACCCCTCCTTCAGAGTGCAGGTAACTTACTTCCCAGCTCCAGGACTCATCAATACGTATATTCATGAAAAGCTCTCCCTCCATGAAGGGGGTGGGAGAAGAGTGCCTTAATCCAAGGAATGGGAGCTATCCTCTCATTCCTTTGATTAAATCTGATTACCTCCTATAACCTTCAAAAATTTAGTACCTAATGAAAATGATATTTCTCAAACTCACAACAAAAACCAAAAATCAGTGTAATACAGTAATTTCAGCATACCTTAGTCACAAGTGGATAGTGTGTCTGAGTCACTGTTGCAGCAGCACACTGCAGACACTTCACCGTCTCTTTCAAGTTTTTCTTTGGTACCAAAACTTCCAGTTTGTCTTGTGCTTTGATAATGGTATAAAGCGCAGCGCTGTTTATAGTCAAATACTTCTTTGAACGAGTGATTGCCACATACAATAAATTATGCTCATCGCCAACGTCTAAAGGGTAATGTGTGGAAGGACAGAGAATATTTACAGGGTGGAGATCATCTAACAATATAACCCAGTCCCATTCCAGACCCTTGGCTTTGTGAATGGTACTGAAGGTAATGTCAGCGACAGATGGCTTTGCATTACATCTCTTCTTGAGTAGATTGAGGTGATGTGGTGTTTTATGGCCACTATGCAGGAACATCATAATTTTGTTATATAAGTCAAGGTCTTCTAAATTTTCAGCAAAGTTTGCAAGGCTGGCTACTGAATCAAACCTGGCTACTAACTTGTTTTCGATCTCCAAAGTTTCTGCAGTACCAAAGCCTTGCTCAACTTGAGACAATTTATATATGTCCATCACAACATTAAATCCATACTTGTTAATTCCACCTGCAAATGCCATGGATGCTTGTTTGAAAACATTGTCCTCACATAGTTTTGTGGCGAGTTTATAAATTTCCAAATTTGACCTCGCTAAGTATGCTCTCTTTATTTTTGAATTTACAGCATAATACATTGAATCTGGAGCATTCACTATCGTATCCTTTTTTCTTCCTCCAACAATAGTCGGTCTGCTAACACCGAGGAGTCTCTCTAAAACACAGTGTGCAAGATATGCAATTTCAGGACCAAATCTGAAGGACTGAGTGAGGTAAAATGTGTGACTGGCAGCCACCATATCTAATGCATTGACGGCCCCTCGGAAGGCGTAGATTTGCTGGTGATGATCCCCCACAATAACCTGAAATAAAGATGCTGTGACAGGAGAAGAATTTATTATATGATGCTGTATGACCCACATGGGCCTAGCTCTCAATACAAACACCCTACACTGCATACAAGTTGTCTTCAAGTTGGTGCAGTAGAATAAAAACCAGCAACACTCCCATTCTCATGCAACACACCATTTTTAGAGCGAATAACACTATGAATGAAGGCATATGAAAGGAATAATTTTCTACAGTTACTCATCACTCATACAAGCCGCCCAGCTACATCTCATATTTAAGTCAATTTGTTCTACTGTGGGTGCATGTATAATGTTTACATGTTATGTAATGTATTTCTTATACAATTTTGAAAAAAATATCAGATGGATTAATGAAAATGTCTATATCAACGTAATTATGACATTTAACCCGTAAACGGTCCAAATGTATATATACGTTTTTTCAACATTTGAAAGTATGTAAAAAAAGTAGATCTTCTTTTTGTTTTTTTACATTTGAAAATGTGTAAAAAAACTTCGATCTACTTTTTTTTTGTTATACATGTATTTGAAAATATGTAAAAAAAAACGTAGATCTACTTTTGTAGCACTACACATGTGAACGTAGATCTGCTTGGACCGTTCACGGGTTAAAGCGCCCCATAGCGATTATTATTAATAATATGGCGTCTTCAAGACTAGAGAGACCTCTTGGTGATTTTAATGTGTACCTGCATGCCAGCACAGAGTGTAAGTTTATTTAGGTACAGGTACACATAATTATCAGAGTACAGTGGAACCCTGAGTTTCAGTCGCCCTAAGTATCAGATGCTTCGAGTTTCGACCGCTTTTTTGGGCCAAATTTTGTCCCGAGTTTGGGCCATTGCCCCGTGTTTTGGCTGGTGTACCAGACCTGTCCACCTGCCCGGGCTTGCGCGCCTCCCTGTGTAGGTGTCGTGAGCCAGTCTAGCATTCTTTATCCTTGAGAGAACATTACCCTGCACACTCATTTAAACATTTTGCAATAAATTCATTGTGTTTAGTGCTTGATTATTGATTGTGACTGTGAAATAAGCCACCATGGGCCCAAAGAAACTTCCTACTGGCACCCCTGTGGTAAAGAAAGTGAGGAACACCATAAAAGTGAAGGAGGAGATAGCAGAAAATACAAAAGTGGCATCTGTGTGGAGGAGCTTGCCAGGATGTATGGCAAAAACAAATCAACTATCACTTCTATCTTGGCGAAGAGAAAAGAACTCAAGGAAGCTGATGTTGCAAAAGGTGTTGACATGTTAACCAAAAATAGATCACAAACAGTGGAAGAGGTTGAGAAGTTGTTGGTGGTGTGGATCAACAATAAAGATAGCGGGTGATAGTGTTTCGGAGTCAATCATTCGTGAGAAGGCAAGGCAGTTGCATGACGATCTTGTAATAGAGGAATCACTTCAGTATCCTCCAATGCACAAGCCTTATAGGTAAGGCTTGGGAAGGAGTGATTTCCACAACTGTCTCTGCTTGGAGACAATTGTGGCCACCATGTGTCATCCAGAGGGATTTTGAAGGGTTTGAGGCTGACCCTGACCCTGCCGACCCTCTGCCTATTGTGGAAGGTATTGTGGCATTGAGTAAGTCCATGGGGTTGGAGGTGAGTGACAAGGATGTGGAAAAGTTGGTGGAGGACCACAGGGAAGAGCTAACCACTGAAGAGCTGCAAGAGCTTCATCTGGAACAGCAACAGGCCACAGATGAGGAACTTGCTTCAGAGAGGAGGAAAAGGGAGTGAAGGAGGTGCCTCCTTCATTGATTAAGGAGATTTGTGCAAAGTGGAATGATGTGCAAAGTTTTGTGGAGAAGCACCACCCTGAGCAAGCTGAAACAAGTCATCTCTGCAACAAGTTCAGTGACAGGACCATGTCCCATTTTAGGCAAATCTTAAGGATACCAGAAACAGAGCACTCTTGACAGTTTTTTTGTGTGAAAGGGGTCCAGTGACTCTCAAGCTGGTCCTAGTGGCATTAAAAGACAAAAAAGAGAAGTAACCCCAGAGAGAGACTTGTTGCCTAAAGTCCTTATGGAGGGGGATTCCCCTTCCAAACAATAACCTCAACTCCCTCTCTCCTCCTCCTATCTTCCAGATGCCAGCAAGTCTCTTCAATAAAGGTAAGTAAATGCTATTTTAAATGTTTATTTAAATTTTAATTTATTTTATTACTAATTTAAGTACTATATGTATTTATCTGTGTTGTGTGTATGTAAAACTATAGCTATTCTTTCAAAAATGTATTTTTTGTGAATATTTTCGTGGGTCTGGAACAGATTAATTGTATTTACATTATTTCTTATGGGAAATGTTGCTTCGACTTTCGGCTGTTTCAAGTTTAGGCCTAGCTTCTGGAATGGATTACGGCCAAAACTCGGGGTTCCATTGTATACTATATAAAATATGCAATAACTTTCAAACACTTCAAATTCTAGAAAGTTTTCAGACAAAATCAAGAGACACGGAGCTCACAGAGGATGTAAACAAACAGTGGCGTGCGGAGACTGTATTAGCAAATCAGGTGGGGGGGGGGGGGAGAGGAAAATGTATAACAAGTTTTGGTCACCATTCAAATTGTTCGTATTAGCAAAATGCCAAAAAGTGGGTTCTACTGTACTGTATTTCCTTCACAGATGGCATACAGTACTGTATTTTGCTCCCAGATGGCATACATTACTGTATTTTGCTCCCAGATTGGAAAGGGGACAAAAGAGATTGTAAAAATTATAGAGGAATAAGTTTACTGAGTATACCAGGAAAAGTATACGGTAGGGTTATAATTGAAAGAATTAGAGGTAAGACAGAATGTAGGATTGTGGATGAGCAGGGAGGCTTCAGAGTGGGTAGGGGATGTGTAGATCAAGTGTTTACATTGAAGCATATATGTGAACAGTATTTAGATAAAGGTAGGGAAGTTTTTATTGCATTTATGGATTTAGAAAAGGCATATGATAAGAGTGGATAGAGGAGCAATGTGGCAGATGTTGCAAGTATATGGAATAGGTGGTAAGTTACTAAATGCTGTTAAGAGTTTTTATGAGGATAGTGAGGCTCAGGTTAGGATGTGTAGAAGAGAGGGAGAATACTTCCCGGTAAAAGTAGGTCTTAGACAGGGATGTGTAATGTCACCATGGTTGTTTAATATATTTATAGATGGTGTTGTAAAAGAAGTAAATGCTAGGGTGTTCGGGAGAGGGGTGGGATTAAATTATGGGGAATCAAATTCAAAATGGGAATTGACACAGTTACTTTTTGCTGATGATACTGTGCTTATGGGAGATTCTAAAGAAAAATTGCAAAGGTTAGTGGATGAGTTTGGGAATGTGTGTAAAGGTAGAAAGTTGAAAGTGAACATAGAAAAGAGTAAGGTGATGAGGGTATCAAATGATTTAGATAAAGAAAAATTGGATATCAAATTGGGGAGGAGGCATATGAAAGAAGTGAATGTTTTCAGATACAGTGGACCCCCGGATAACGATATTTTTTCATTCCAGAAGTATGTTCAGGTGCCAGTACTGACCGAATTTGTTCCCATAAAGAATATTGTGAAGTAGATTAGTCCATTTCAGACCCCCAAACGTACACGTACAAACGCACTTACATAAATACACTTACATAACTGGTTGCATTGGGAGGTGATCGTTAAGCGGGGGTCCACTGTACTTGGGAGTTGACGTGTCAGCGGATGGATTTATGAAGGATGAGGTTAATCATAGAATTGATGAGGGAAAAAAGGTGAGTGGTGCGTTGAGGTATATGTGGAGTCAAAAAACGCTATCTATGGAGGCAAAGAAGGGAATGTATGAAAGTATAGTGGTACCAACACTCTTATATGGATGTGAAGCTTGGGTGGTAAATGCAGCAGTGAGGAGACGGTTGGAGGCAGTGGAGATGTCCTGTCTAAGGGCAATGTGTGGTGTAAATATTATGCAGAAAATTCGGAGTGTGGAAATTAGGAGAAGGGTGTGGAGTTAATAAAAGCATTAGTCAGAGGCAGAAGAGGGGTTGTTGAGGTGGTTTGGTCATTTAGAGAGAATGGATCAAAGTAGAATGACATGGAAAGCATATAAATCTATAGGGGAAGGAAGAGGGGTAGGGGTCGTCCTCGAAAGGGTTGGAGAGAGGGGGTAAAGGAGGTTTTGTGGGTGAGGGCTTGGACTTCCAGCAAGCGTGCGTGAGCGTGTTAGATAGGAGTGAATGGAGACGAATGATACTTGGGACCTGACGATCTGTTGGAGTGTGAGCAGGGTAATATTTAGTGAAGGGATTCAGGGAAACCGGTTATTTTCATATAGTCGGACTTGAGTCCTGGAAATGGGAAGTACAATGCCTGCACTTTAAAGGAGGGGTTTGGGATATTGGCAGTTTGGAGGGATATGTTGTGTATCTTTATACATATATGCTTCTAAACTGTTGTATTCTGAGCACCTCTGCAAAAACAGTGATAATGTGTGAGTGTGGTGAAAGTGTTGAATGATGATGAAAGTATTTTCTTTTTGGGGATTTTCTTTCTTTTTTGGGTCACCGTGCCTTGGTGGGAGACGGCCGACTTGTTGAAAAAAAAAAAAAAAAAATTGCATACAGTACTGCATTTTGTCCCCAGATGGCATACAGTACTGTATTTCGTACAGTATTGTATTTTGGTCTCAGACGGAGACCCCTCTCTATATTTACTGAAGAGGGCCTCTGAATGATGTCAATGTATATACAGATCTTTCACCTGTGTGTCATAGTTCTGCCCACTCATAACTGTAATGCCTGTTCTCATGATTCACGAAATCATAATGACACAATTGCAAACAAACCATGGTAGGGGTGGCTTACAGGCTGGCTTAGAATTCTACAACTCGCTGCAAGTCCAATCCCTACCCGCACTGTCTTTTGCAATGCCTGTTACAATCCACAGAACCTCTCAAGGGAGGTTCCTTGATGCTGGCGAGGTGCTCGATTCAAAGAATTGGACCTGATGTCTGCTTCCTCTGACAGAGGCTGAATGCCTCCCTTACACCCAGGCAGGTTTGGCACTCCCTTATGGATGTAAAAAATATAATGCAAATAAAGCTAGATCTACCATTTATGTCTATTAATTTGGCATGAAATTTTGCTAATGCCAAGTAACTTTTCAGATTTTACAAACCAATTTAACATTGTAACCTGACATATTTTGGCATTTCTTTGCTATGGAAATTCTCATGGCAACTACTCTGCTACAGAGATTCTCATGGCAACTTCTCTACTACAGAAATTCTCATGGCAACTACTCTGCTACAGAAATTCTCATGGCAACTTCTCTACTACAGAAATTCTCATGGCAACTACTCTGCTACAGAAATTCTCATGGCAACTTCTCTACTACAGAAATTCTCATGGCAACTTCTCTACTACAGAAATTCTCATGGCAACTGCTCTACTACAAAATTCTCATGACAGTTGCTCTATTACAAAATTCTTATGGCAACTGCTCTACTACAAAATTCTCATGGCAACTACAGTTGCCATGAGACAGTGACAGTTTAGATGTCACTCCAAACAGCAAATATCCCATTTACTCCATAAATTACAGGAAACATTTCAATCACTCCTTAAGCAAAATCAGCCATTACAGTAGTCTCCCCCCCCCCACGTGTGAGGAATATGTTCCAAGCCTACTTGCGGATACTCAAAACTGCAGATAGTAGCGAACATTATACAGCCTCTCCTCACTTAGCGACGTACTTGTTTACCTATGTCTCGGACTTACGATGGGCTCTCTGACCAGTATTCATACCTAAATAAAGTACGTATATTAGAGCTGATTTCCTCTTTTCTGTTTATTTCAGTATAAAGTACACTTCTGTATATACATTTAAAAAATATACCAGAAATGTTATAAATGGTACAAAGGTGACATTAAAACATTATCAAAGATGGTTGACACAAACCCACTACCATTATAGTATGCTCCTCACTTAGCGATGAATTCATTTACCGATGTGGTCTAAGGAACGGAACCTCTTCGTTAAATGAGGGGAGGCTGTATATAAGCCTTTTTCATTTACATACCTATGATAATGTTTAATTGATAAATTATGCATAATAAGGTGAAAATTATCACTTTTTCACTGATGGGAAGCACTTCATGGCTTCTCTTAGGCTTTGAAGAACTACCAGCATCACTAATTTTGTGCACTGGGGCCATTATTTAGCAAAATTAAGGGTTATTTTCAGGCCACAGTAAACTGAATAACTGAAACCATAGAAACTGAATCTGAAGATACAGGGGTTCTACTGTACTGACAAAAAATGATCTATGGTGGACTGAAACATTTTTCTCTGCACACTGTGGATTAGTTATGAAGTGTTTCAGCCTCGACTGACTACCAGTTTATTTCCTTTAACCCTTTCAGTGTAGGTCCCGTAATATTACGGCTTGAGAGCCAGTGTCGGTCCCATAATATTATGGCTTGAGAGCCAGTGTCGGTCCCGTAATATTATGGCTTGAGAGCCAGTGTCGGTCCCGTAATATTATGGCTATACTACACCAAAATTCTAGCTCCTTTAAATCTGGTGGAAGAAAGCTGGTAGGCCTACATATGAAAGAATGGGTCTGCGTGGTCAGTGTGTGCAGTATAAAAAAATTCTGCAGCACACAGTGCACGAGAAATAAAACTCCAACTGTGTTTTTGGTTTAAAACAGCGAATTTGCGGTGTATTTTCGTATGGTATTTATGGTTCTTTTCTCGTTGTCTTGGTCTCATTTGATAGAATGGAAGATATATTACAGAAATGAAGATGATTTTGATTGGTTTCACGATGAAAAGTACCTTGAAATAGAGCTCAAAGTAGCGGAAATGTTTAATATTTGCCGATGCTCAAGAGTAAACATTGTCCAATACGTGTCCAACTGGCCAGCCTAATATGCAGTCATGAATGGATTGACATTATTTACATTATTATAATAATAATGCAGTAGTCTGCATAACAGTAAATTTTCTATTTTTTGTAAGAATAAAAATTCAAAACGGAAAGCAAGAGTAATATAAGAGTGACCTGGAGACATGACTAATGAACAGAGAAAATGTTATTTTAGTGCCAGGAATATATGCCTTGTTTATTCTGGACCCTATTTTGAAATTGGCATCTTTTGAAATTTTAGTGAAATTGGCCAAATTGCCAAATTCTGACCACTTTATTCGGTAGTTGAAATTAGTAAATGGGCGGTTTCTTGTACTCAATCAATAGAAAAAACGGAGTTCTAAAGAAATAGTTATGAGTTTGGTCTACTGGAACAATGGAATTGGTCGAAAATAGGGCTCAAAGTGGGCAAAATCACCGATGCGTATATATCGCTGAGATCACTAACTTCGTGAGAGCGTAATTCTGTAAATTCTCCATCAAATTTCATACTTTTGGTGCCATTACCATTTGGAAAAGATTCTCTATCATTTCATAAGAATTTTTTTTTTCTTTGGGAGGGGGGGGGGATTTTTCGACACAGAGAGGGAGTTCAGGATCAGGGGTCTCGACAGTGAGAAGGTTAAGGATCAGGGGCCTTGACGCTGAAAGGGTTAAATATGTTGCAGCACATAAAACTCTTGTCACAATGTGGAAATCAGACACACCTACACAATCAACATATTTACTGACACACACATCCCAGTCAACACATTTATTGAAACACACATGTACAACTAACACAATCATTGAAACACATGCACAATCAACACATTTATTGAAACACACATACACAATAACACAATAAACACACTTATTAAAATACACATGCACAATTGACACATTTACTGAAGATGTCTCACTGTTTATGTTTTTTTATCCAACTGTCAGTAGTAACAAATAGATTTTCTCATCACAATGACTCAATATGAAATTAATATTTGGAATTTATACATAAGTTAGAAAAATTCAGATTCAGGAAGGATATAGGAAGGTACTGGTTTGGTAATAGAGTTGTGGATGAGTGGAACAAACTCCCAAGTACAGTCATAGAGGCCAGAACGTTGTGTAGCTTTAAAAATAGGTTGGATAAATACATGAGTGGGTGTGGGTGGGTGTGAGTTGGACCTGATTAGCTTGTGCTACCAGGTCGGTTGCCGTGTTCCTCCCTTAAGTCAAGGTGACCTGACCTGACTAGGTTGGGTGCATTGGCTTAAGCCGGTAGGAGACTTGGACCTGCCTCACATGGGCCAGTAGGCCTGCTGCAGTGTTCCTTCATTCTTATGTTCTTATATCTTTTAAAACTTATTCTATTTTCACAACAAGACATTACCTATTATTCATTATTTATTTTGAAGTAGCATACCTTTGCACACCGTTGATTGAGAAAGATGTCAAACATGGCAGCGTTCATGTCCTGTCCCTCGTCAATCATTAAGACGTCGTATCCCAACAGACTGGGTTTCGAAAGTTGCCATAACTTCAACTGTCCATCCTGTTGAAAATACCGTTAGGTAATAGTGTAACATAAATATATAAACAAACACAAACACAGAAAAAAATAATAAAAACACACAAACACACACATATACACACTCCACCATGGTAGGGCAAACCCAAAGGAAGAATGATACTCACCATCACTCATCAACAGCTCTCTTGCCAGAAGTGTATGGGCATCACAATTCACTCTCTCTCCTTCAGGAATAGTCAATGTGTACAATATTATTTTTCTATTCATGGGGAAGTGCTAAATCAGTAAGGGTCTAATGACACTGAAGGATAGAAGTACCAGGGATGATATGATAACATACAAAATACAGCCTTTCCTCACTTTGCAATGTACTTGTTTACCAACGACTCAGACTTACAACAGGCTCTCTGATCAATTTGCATGCCTAAATAATGTATATTAGAGCTGATTTCTTTTCTTCTGTTTATTACAATATACAGTACACTAACACGTCAGTCTGGAGTTTTGAGACTCTCTGATCGCTGGTTCTAACCCCACCTGTGGTATGGTTTACAGTACTCTACTGTATAAACATTTAAAAATATACCAGAAATGTTTTAAATGATGCAAAGGTGACACTAAAACAATAGCAAAGCTGGCTGACATAAACCCACTACCATTATAGTATGCTCCTCACTTAGCGACGAATTCGTTTATTGATGTGGTCTTAGGAACAGAACTCCATCGTTAAGTGAGGAGAGGCTGTACTCAGGGGAACGGATAGGGTAGACAGGAAGAGGCTGTTTGAGAGGCAAGAAATGGGAACTAGGGGGACACCGCTGGAAGTTAAAGACACAGATGAGCCACAGGGATGTCAGGAAGTATTTCTTCAGTCTCAGGGTGATCAGAAAATGCAATGATCTCAGTGAAGAAGTGGCAGAGGCAGACTCCATACATAGTTTTACAAGCAGGTACAACAAGACTCAAAGCTAGGAGGAAGCAATTTGGCAAGCAACAAGCGGAGAGGCAGGGCCAAGACCTGAGTCTCGACCCCCGCAGTCACATAAAGGTGAGCACATATAGGTGATTACAACATCTAAAGATAAAGATTTTATTTCTTTGTATAGGTTACAAAGTGTAATTACAATTTTGATTTGCTAAGTACAAAGAAAACCACTATCAAACAAAGCCACTACTGTACAAAGTTAATTTAACATTAGTGCATTAACTGTTAGGTGCTATTGATATACCTATTCTTAATAGTTCATTATATTTTACTACTACTATTTCACTATATGTTTATTATGTTTAATAATATAGTGGAACAATATACACTTACACCATTATTGTTCAATCACCCCACTTTTACAGATATTAATAATACCTCTTATCATCCTTCTGCAATTCATTATCATTTAAATATTTATCAGTTAACCCCAAATGCTCAATGCTGACATCGACCCTGAACCGAACCTAATCTTAATCCCAACCATCATTTAACTGAGAGCAACTGCCTTTACTACACAGCAACAGAAGCAGTACTGTCCTCACTAGCACAAGAAGTATCACAATTTTGAATTACATACAATATTAGATCCCTAGGTAAACACTATGATGACCTCCTAGCACTCTTAGATTCACTAAAGACAAACTTCTCCTGTATAATTTCTTACTGAAACCTGGCTTAAGCAAGACACAATAGACATCTACACACTACCAGGATACACAGCAATCCACTACTGCAAGCCAGAATAAATTGGGTGGGGTATTGCCATCTATTATTCAAATGAACTATCTTGTAGCAATACCATATCCTTCAGTGATGAGTATGGTGAATATATATTTGCAAACTTCTCTGTAAAAAGTTTAAAAAAAAAAAACCTATAGCAACTGGGGCCATATACAGGATGCCTTATACTAATATCCCAGCCTTTAGTGATAAACTAAAAACACTGATTACAGATACACAGATGAATAAGGCAAGGAGGAATAACATCTTGCAGGAGTGAGGAAGAGCCAGTTGTGAGTGTGGAGGAAGTTCGTGAGGCAGTAGGTAAAATGAAAGGGGGTAAGGCAGCTGGGATTGGTCGGATAAAGATAGAAATATAGTTTTGGGATATAGGGATAGGGATATAGTTTTGGAGTGGTTGGTGCAATTATTTAATAAATGTATGGAAGAGGGTAAGGTACCTAGGGATTGGCAGAGAGCATGCATAGTTCCTTTGTATAAAGGCAAAGGGGATAAAAGAGAGTGCAAAAATTATAGGGGGATAAGTCTGTTGAGTATACCTGGTAAAGTGTATGGTAGAGTTATTATTGAAAGAATTAAGAGTAAGACGGAGAATAGGATAGCAGATGAACAAGGAGGCTTTAGGAAAGGTAGGGGGTGTGTGGACCAGGTGTTTACAGTGAAACATATAAGTGAACAGTATTTAGATAAGGCTAAAGAGGTCTTTGTGGCATTTATGGATTTGGAAAAGGTATATGACAGGGTGGATAGGGGGGCAATGTGGCAGATGTTGCAGGTGTATGGTGTAGGAGGTAGGTTACTGAAAGCAGTGAAGAGTTTTTACAAGGATAGTGAGGCTCAAGTTAGAGTATGTAGGAAAGAGGGAAATTATTTCCCAGTAAAAGTAGGCCTTAGACAAGGATGTGTGATGTCACCGTGGTTGTTTAATATATTTATAGATGGGGTTGTAAGAGAAGTAAATGCGAGGGTCTTGGCAAGAGGCGTGGAGTTAAAAGATAAAGAATCACACACAAAGTGGGAGTTGTCACAGCTGCTCTTTGCTGATGACACTGTGCTCTTGGGAGATTCTGAAGAGAAGTTGCAGATTTCCTGTATTCAGGTGAATACAGGAAAGAGTAAGGTTATGAGGATAATAAAAAGATTAGGTGATGAAAGATTGGATATCAGATTGGAGGGAGAGAGTATGGAGGAGGTGAATGTATTCAGATATTTGGGAGTGGACGTGTCAGCAGATGGGTCTATGAAAGATGAAGTGAATCATAGAATTGATGAGGGGAAAAGGGTGAGTGGTGCACTTAGGAGTCTGTGGAGACAAAGAACTTTGTCCTTGGAGGCAAAGAGGGGAATGTATGAGAGTATAGTTTTACCAACGCTCTTATATGGGTGTGAAGCATGGGTGATGAATTTTTGCAGCGAGGAGAAGGCTGGAGGCAGTGGAGATGTCATGTCTGAGGGCAATGGTGTGGTGTGAATATAATGCAGAGAATTCGTAGTTTGGAAGTTAGGAGGAGGTGCGGGATTACCAAAACTGTTGTCCAGAGGGCTGAGGAAGGGTTGTTGAGGTGGTTCGGACATGTAGAGAGAATGGAGCGAAACAGAATGACTTCAAGAGTGTATCAGTCTGTAGTGGAAGGAAGGCGGGGTAGGGGTCGGCCTAGGAAAGGTTGGAGGGAGGGGGTAAAGGAGGTTTGTGTGTGAGGGGCTTGGACTTCCAGCAGGCATGCGTGAGCGTGTTTGATAGGAGTGAATGGAGAAAAGTGGTTTTTAATACTTGACGTGCTGTTGGAGTGTGAGCAAAGTAACATTTATGAAGGGGTTCAGGGAAACCGGCAGGCCGGACTTGAGTCCTGGAGATGGGAAGTACAGTGCCTGCACTCTGAAGGAGGGGTGTAAATGTTGCAGTTTAAAAACTGTAGTGTAAAGCACCCTTCTGGCAAGACAGTGATGGAGTGAATGATGGTGAAAGTTTTTCTTTTTCAGGCCACCCTGCCTTGGTGGGAATCGGCCAGTGTGATAATAATAATAATAAAGATGAATAAGCACCACCTACTACTAGCAGGAGACTTCAACATCAACCTTGGCCTAACAGATGACCCACCTGCTGCTGACTCCATTAACAATATGAACAATACACTACTCATACCAGCAATTACAAAACCAAGAAGACTAACTGAGACAAGTGCAATCATAATTGATCATATATGGACAAACATACTAGCCCCCTTTAAAGCAGGGATAATCACAGACATCACTACTGACCACTGTCCAACTTTCCTCCTAACCAAACATTTGTAAGAAACCGATGGAATATAAAAAGTTCGCTTTTTGACTCCATGATGAAGCCTCAATAAGTAACTTCACTGCAGAACTAAGCTCAGTTGACTGGCCTACAGAATTTTCCAATGCCGCTGGTATCAATGAATGGGTAGATACATTTCTAAACAAAATTCAAAGAACATATAATAAACATTGTCCCATAAAAACTAAACAGATCACCAATAAAAGACTAAGCTGTCCATGGCTTACTAACAACATCTTAAGGTAGATCAATATGAAACATAAATATGAGAAACAATATAGGAGAGGCTTAATAACTAAACAATTCATCAAACACTATTTGTCTGTCCTCACCAATTTAATTAGAAACTCTAAGCAAGTATACTACTCTAATAGATTCACTGAAACTAAAGGAGACATAAAAAAGACCTGGAAAACACTCTCTCAGATCCTGGGCACCCACAAACCAAGCAAATGAACCGAAACTCCAGCCTACTGATACAGCTGACTTCTTCTTAACCACAGGGTCTAATCTTGCCAGTAAAATTCCAATTACCAATGTCCAAGCTAATGATTATCTAGATGGAAACTTCCCAACATCCCTCTTACACCAAAAGAGCCCATTGAGGCGACTATGATTATTAACTCTAAAAAACACATCAGGGAATGTAACCCAAGTGCCACAAGCTCAAATCCTTTCACCCACCATTGCATTACTCTTCAACAAATCAATAGAAACCAACACCTTCCCGGCATCACTCAAGGTAGCAAGGAGAACACCAATACACAAAAGTGGTGACCCAACAGATGTAAACAATTATAGGCCAATATAAAACTTGCCTTTACTTTCCAGAATCTTTGAGAAACTCATACACAAAAGGTTATACTCCTTGATAACATCACAATGCATCCTTAACCCATGCCAGTTTGGCTTCAGGAGAAACAAAAGCAAAAATGATGCAATAATAAAAATGCTAGATCTACTATACACAGAGCTGGAAAAAATGAATACCCGCTTGGACTCTTTATCGACCTTAAGAAAGCTTTTGATGCAGTTGATCCCAGCATCCTACTCCTCAAGATTGATCATTATGGTACAAGAGGTCATGCACTTGCATTTATCAAGTCCTACCTTACTAATAGAAAGCAATACGTTTCAGTCAATGACACAACCACCTCAACAAGACCCCTGGGCACTGATGTACCACAGGGTACACCAGTGTCCCCTCCTTTTCCTTTTATACATCAACGATCTCCCAAGCATATCACAACAACTTATGCCTATTCTCTTTGCTGAGACACAACTTTTGTCATCTCCCACCCAAATCTAACCTCACTCAACACTATTGTTAACGAAGAATTCACAAAAACAAAAACCTGTTTGACCGCCAATAAACTTACACTTAATATAGACAAAACCTTTACATTATATTTGGGAGTAGAGCAAGTGAGGACCAACTAATTATTATGCTTAACAACACTCTTATTGCTAAACATAATGAGAGAAAATTCCTGGGTCTGCACCTTGATAGTAACCTGAAATTCAACACCCATATACAACACATAAAAAAATTTTCTAAAACAGTTGGCATCCTCTCAAAGATACATCACTATGTACCACAAACAGCACTACTTACACTATACTATTCACTAATCTACCCATACCTCACTTATGCTGTTTGTGCCTGGGTCTCCACAACGAAAAAATACTGAAATCAATAATAACACAATAAAAAGCAGTAGTGCGAATGATCACACAATGCACTGCTAGACAACCTCCCCCTCCACTCTTCGAAGTCCTGAGCCTACTCACTATAAAAAACATTCACTCGTACTATTGTGCAACCTACATTTACATAACAATCAACTCTAATCTAAATCTCGACATGAAATGCTATCTTAACAGTTGCAATACGACTCACAGACACAATACCAGGCACAAAAACCTCTATGACATTCCTCATGTAAGACTAAATCTTTTCAAAAACCCACTGTACATAAAAGGGCCCAAAATCTGGAACTCTCTGCCAGAAATCTCCAGAACCACTGGTTCAGCTAAGATTTTTAAAACTACAGTTAAAAAACACCTTATCTCCTTAACCTATCCCAGTCCATCATAAATACATATGTAAAAACTATAAATGATTTGCTCAATAACATGAATACAGGTAAAACCTCATCAATATAATCAATATACACTTGCCCTCAATATCTGTATTCATCTCAAATGCTACTCACTCTACTGTATCTGCCTAAGGTTAATAATCATGACCTAATATAATACTTAAGTCTCTTGTACTCATTGTAACTCATATAATGAACATAAGAACTGTTTTTATGAGGACAGTGAGTCTCAGGTTAGGGTGTGTAGAAGAGAGGGAGACTACTTCCCGGTAAAAGTAGGTCTTAGACAGGGATGTGTAATGTTCCCATGTTTGTTTAATATATTTATAGATGGGGTTGTAAAAGAAGTAAATGCTAGGGTGTTTGGGAGAGGGGTGGGATTAAATTATGGGGAATCAAATACAAAATGAGAAGTGGCACAGATACTTTTTGCTGATGATACTGTGCTTATGGGAGATTCTAAAGAAAAATTGCAGAGGTTAGTGGAAGAATCTGGGAATGTGTGTAAAGGTAGAAAGTTGAAAGTGAACATAGAAAAGAGTAAGGTGATGAGGGTATCAAATGATTTAGATAAAGAAAAATTGGATATCAAATTGGGGAGGAGGAGTATGGAAGAAGTGAATGTTTTCAGATATTTGGGAGTTGATGTATCAGCGGATGGATTTATGAAGGATGAGGTTAATCACAGAACTGATGAGGGAAAAAAGGTGAGTTGTGCATTGAGGTATATGTGGAGACAAAGAACATTATCTATGGAGGCAAAGGGAATGTATGAAAGTATAGTGGTACCAACACTCTTACATGGGTGTGAAGCTTGGGTTGTAAATGCTGCAGCGAGGAAGCGGTTGGAGGCAGTGGAGATGTCCTGTCTAAGGGCATGGAAATTAGTGTGGAAATTAGGAGAAGGTGTGGAGTTAATAAAAGTATTAGTCAGAGGGCTGAAGAGGGGTTGTTGAGGTGGTTTCATCATTTAGAGAGAATGGATCAAGGTAGAATGATATGGAGTGTATAAATTTGTAGGGGTCGTCCTTGAAAGGGTTGGAGGGAGGGGGCAAAAGAGGTTTTGTGGGTAAGGGGCTTGGACTTCCAGCAAGCATGCGTGAGCGTGTTAGATAGGAGTGAATGGAGACGAATGGTATTTGGGACCTGGCGAGCTGTTGGAGTGTGAGCAGGGTAATATTTAGTGAAGGGATTCAGGGAAACCGGTTATTTTATATAGCCGAACTTGAGTCCTGGAAATGGGAGGTACAATGCCTGCACTTTAAAGGAGCGGTTTGGGATATTGGCAGTTTGGAGGGATATGTTGTGTATAAGCGTATATATTTCTAAACTGTTGTATTCTGAGCACCTCTGCAAAAACAGTGATTGTGTGTGAGTGAGGTGAAAGTGTTGAATGATGATGAAAGTATTTTCTTTTTGGGGGTTTTCTTTCTTTTTGGATCACCTTGCCTCGGTGGGAGACAGCTGACTTGTTAAAAAAAAAAAAAAAAAAAAATCTTAAGTTAATTTTAAGTATGCCTGAAATGCTCAGCATACAAAGGGGCTTTTTGGCATGTACACCCAACTATTATATTCCTTTGTACAATCATGTATCATGTCAAAATACACTATTATTATTATTATTATAATACAAAGAAAGCCACTATCATACAAAGAAAGGCACTATCATACAAAGATAGCCACTATCTACAAAGAAAGCCACTAGGGAGTGAGAGTAGTCACATTTGCTTTTAGAAAGGTAAGGCCAGCTCCAATTCCAATTCCAATTTCCAACATTCGCACCTGAACTTCTTTATTTTTCATTCAATTTCTTTCGTTTTTTTTTTTGTACATAAAGAAGCACCTTTCAATAGTAATGTGACCAAGTTTCAATAAGATAGCTCAAAAAACAACTGAGAAAAAAATTATTTACTAATAATCATACATACTGAACAGTATTTTCGTAATGGGACTTGGAGAAGCTGTTTTGGCATTATCTACGCATAAAACAATGCTAAACTGTATTTCAAATGATTACCAAACTGCAATTTATCCTTTCTTCATTCTTAAAAAAAATAAAGTTTGTATGGTTTTGACATTCAGCCAAATATCTGACTTTTGCCCTCACAAAAATCAAAAACAAATTATGATATCTCAAAAATCCCACCTTGTGTTTGTAAAACAATCTTTCCTTTATGTTCTCTGTGAATTTCAATGCATTCCTGCTATTATTAACGAAAACACTGTCTTATATATGTGAATAACCCACTTCCGAGATAATCCGCGAAACAGCCGGACCACCGATTTTTTTTTTCGAGAAAATAACATTTTTCTCAGCATTACGAGTGTATATCATAGTTACCCATGTTCGTTTTCTTTAATATAAGGACCCTAGAGGTGATAGAAGGAGAATGGAAGCCCATCCCTGACTATGGGAATCTTATATTCCAGAGGGAGCGCTGGAAGTATATGCCATATATTATTCATTCTGGAGTATTTACCATATTTCTTTGTTATTTATATTGTTTATTATGTCATATTAAATCAATTGTGACAGATAAATAAGCCGTAAAAGCTATAATAGCGTTATATTGAATCATATTCCCCGGCCACCCCGAGACTGGAATTTTCCATGACGTCAGCAAAATGGTGCCAGAAGGTTCCTGGTTGGCTGGAAGTCTACGGGTAAGTCCCACCCACTGTATTATGATGCCAAATCGTCAATTATTATCTTAGAAAGAATAATACAATAAATACACGAAAAAAAAAACAGAAAAAAAATGAAAATTGACGACAGGTGAGCACACCTGCCGCGGGTGGTGACGTCACCCTAGGTGTTTTAAATGATCATAATTCCTTGTAGGAATGTCGTAGAACAATGATTCTTGTACCATTGTGTTGCCAGAGAGTTAAGCTATTTTTCTATAAGATTAACTCAATTTGTGAATTTTTCGACAAAATTTTTCGTTCGCGCTGAGCCCGCTCGATTTATCCCTTAAACAAGAGGCCATCTGAATTGTGATATCAGCACATTTCTGACAAGATTGATTGAATGAATGATGGTACATGTGTTTCCTTATTTTTTGGTGACCCTACCTTGGCAGTAGACAGCTGGTCTGTTACAAAAAAAAAAAAAACTTAGACCAATATTAAGGACTCCCCACTGAAGGACTCAATGAGTCCTCGTTGAGACACTAACCTGAGTCATGGAGATCTTCTGGGTCCTTGAACATTTCTTCATTTCCTCCCACACTAACTCAGCATCAGGTAACAGGATCTAGCACAACAAAATACAATACTATATAAGAATTTAACAACACAAGATTGGAGGAACACTGCAGCAGGCCTTCTGACCCACACTTGGCAGGTCCTACTTAAATACAACCCTTATCTCCCAAATATCTGTCCTACCTATTCTCAAAGGTATTCAAGGTTGTAACTACCATAACCCTACTAAACCATGCTAGGCAAGTCCCATGCAAATATAACCTTTCTCACTCATATATTTACCTAACCTGGAAATTAACACTTTATTTATTTTCAGTATATCATTACCTATATCTGAATACATTCACCTCCTCCATACTCTCTCTCTCCAATCTGATATCCAATCTTTCATCACCTAATCTTTTTGTTATTCTCATAACCTTACTCTTTCCTGTATTCACTTTTAATTTTCTTCTTTTGCACACCCTACCAAATTCATCCACCAATCTCTGCAACTTCTCTTCAGAATCTCCCAAGAGCACAGTGTCATCAGCAAAGAGCAACTGTAACAACTCCCACTTTATGTGTGATTCTTTACCTAAAAGATAAAGAATCTTTATCTAAAAGATAAAGAATCTTTATCTAAAAGATAAAGAATCTTTATCTAAAAGATAAAGAATCTTTATCTAAAAGATAAAGAATCTTTATCTAAAAGATAAAGAATCTTTATCTAAAAGATAAAGAATCTTTATCTAAAAGATAAAAAATCTTTATCTAAAAGATAAAGAATCTTTATCTAAAAGATAAAGAATCACATAAAGTGGGAGTTGTCACAGTTGCTCTTTGCTGATGACACTGTGCTCTTGGGAGATTCTGAAGAGAAGTTGCAGAGATTGGTGGATGAGAGTAAGACACATGTGCAACATCTGGGTATCTTTATTGTAGACGTTTCGCCATCCAGTGGCTTTATCAATACAAATTCTAGGACATAACTTGAAGACAGTAGAACTATGTACACAAGATGAGGTAATCAGTCCCTCAACCTAGGAGTAGGTGCGAACAGCACCATAGTCGTGGAGATTCAGAATCTCCACGACTATGGTGCTGTTCGCACCTACTCCTAGGTTGAGGGACTGATTACCTCATCTTGTGTACATAGTTCTACTGTCTTCAAGTTATGTCCTAGAATTTGTATTGATAAAGCCACTGGATGGCGAAACGTCTACAATAAAGATACCCAGATGTTGCACATGTGTCTTACTCTCATCTTGTCGGTATTATATACCATTCGTACACAATTGGTGGATGAATTTGGTAGGGTGTGCAAAAGAAGAAAATTAAAAGTAAATACAGGAAAGAGTAAGTTTATGAGGATAACAAAAAGATTAGGTGATGAAAGATTGGATATCAGATTGGAGGGAGAGAGTATGGAGGTGAATGTATTCAGATATTTGGGAGCGGACATGTCAGCGGATGGGTCTATGAAAGATGAGGTGAATCATAGAAGTGATGAGGGGAAAAGGGTGAGTGGTGCACTTAGGAGTCTGTGGAGACAAAGAACTTTGTCCTTGGAGGCAAAGAGGGGAATGTATGAGAGTACAGTTTTACCAACGCTCTTATATGGGTGTGAAGCATAGGTGATGAATGTTGCAGTGAGGAGAAGGCTAGAGGCAGTGGAGATGTCATGTCTGAGGGCAATGTGTGGTGCAAATATAATGCAGAGAATTCGTAGTTTGGAAGTTAGGAGGAGGTGCGGGATTACCAAAACTGTTGTCCAGAGGGCTGAGGAAGGGTTGTTGAGGTGGTTTGGACATGTAGAGAGAATGGAGCGAAACAGAGTGACTTCAAGAGTGTATCAGTCTGTAGTGGAAGGAAGGCGGGGTAGGGGTTGGCCTAGGAAAGGTTGGAGGGGGGGGTAAAGGAGGTTTTGTGTGTGAGGGGCTTGGACTTCCAGCAGGCATGCGTGAGCGTGTTTGATAGGAGTGAATGGAGACAAATGGTTTTTAATACTTGACGTGCTGTTGGAGTGTGAGCAAAGTAACATTTATGAAGGGGTTCAGGAAAACCAGCAGGCCAGATTTGAGTCCTGGAGATGAGAAGTACAGTGCCTGCACTCTGAAGGAGGGGTGTTAATGTTGCAGTTTAAAAACTGTAGTGTAAAGCACCCTTCTGGCAAGACAGTGATGGAGTGAATGATGGTGAAAGTTTTTCTTTTTCGGGCCACCCTGCCTTGGTGGGAATTTGCCAGTGTGATAATAAAAAAAATAATAAATTACCAGTTTATATATTCATGAGTTCATTATTATTATTAATACATTCATGGAGAAAGGCCAAACTCACAAGGGTCATACCACACAAAAATAATGGGAGGTAATCACATCTGATCCAAAGGAGGAGAGGTTAGCTCCAATTCCTTGGATCAACAGCCATTCCTCATTATGAAAGCCCTCCCTCTGATAGGCCAACAAACTGAAAATGTCCTATCTCCCCCCCCCCAATGTATACAACCAGGAACTTGCAAATCGACCCCTGCAGCCACAAATACGTGAGTACACAAGGACACTCATGGATGAGCACTGACAACTCTAGATTTCATTCTGTACATATTTACAAAAGAGGAGGCAGCCTTATGCCTGAACAAGCCATCGACTAAATAGCTGTCACACTAATCAATGAGAGGACTAACTTACTGTAAATGTACATTCATCAATGGCATTACATACTGAAAACTACATTTATTAAGAAATGCCTGCACCAAAATAAAAATGCCATAAGTCACATATTGTGTATCATTATCATCCAAATTCATCATCAAGGGACAAATTATTATTACTCAAATATTTTCATACAATGCAACAAGAAAATAAACTAACCCTAAGTCTGTAATCATCATCAAGAGACACTCTGTATTTGTCACTTGCAGGCACATGTTGCAGGCTGATGAAATCAGCAGCAGAATTGAGAAATCTCTCAACTGTGTTCTTGACTAAGGCTGCTCGGCGGTACCTGCAGTAATTAATGTGCATCAAATTTCTGCAGGATAGGTTAGGTAAGGTTTGTCAGGAAACAGGGCAAGTGTTCCCTGACGCGGGTCTTAGTCATGTGATGACCCGCAGCTGGAGCTTTCGGTTATCACATGACCCCTTTAAAAATTATGGTTATGAATATGATTAGATAAGTGTACTGGTTAGGTACTAGGTTGGTAGACAGCAACCGCCCAGGGAGGTACTACCATCCTGCCATGTGAATGTAAAACGAAAGCCTGTAATTATTTGACATGATGGTAGGATTGCTGGTGTCTTTTTTCTGTCTCATAACCATGCAAGATTTCAGGTACGTCTTGCCACTTCTACTTACACTTAGGTCACACTACACTTGCATGTACAAGCATATAATTACACACCCCTCTGGGTTTTCTTCTATTTTCTTACTAGTTCTTGTTCTTGTTTATTTCCTCTTATCTCCATGGGGAAGTGGAACAGAATTCTTCCTACATAAGCCATGCGTGTTGTAAGAGGCGACTAAAATGCTGGGTGTATGGGGCTAGTAACCCCCTTCTCCTGTATATATTGCTAAATGTAAAAGGAGAAACTTTTGTTTTTCCTTTTGGGCCACCCTCCCTTGCTACCGGCACTTTAGTTGCCTCTTACGACACGCATGGCTTACAGAGAAAGGATTCCTCTCCGCTTCCCCATGGAGAAAGTTTTTTTTTTACCATCATATAATAGATAACCTAACAGCAAAACCTACAACTTATGCTGAGAATCAGCTTAGTTGGAGTCTCTCCATCCACTCTCAATCTGATTCATGTTAAGCGCTAAACCCATGAGGGTCATTCAGCCATACCTGTTTCCTGCGTGATTCCTCTCCTCAAGCATTTTAGCTATCTTGTTCGCTATTAATGATCCATCCAGTTTACGAATTGCTGAATATCTGAAAATATAAAAGTGATTGAATAACAATTTCTTCCAAATTAAATGTCACAGATATGCTGGATTAAAAAAACTTATGTAGAAAAATAACAAAAAGCTTATGTAGAAAAATAACAAAAATGTTATGAAGAGAAATAACAAAAAGCTTAAGCTTAACTTTGGGAAAGCTGCCATCTGCCATCTTCCATAAAGTGCTGGCCAAATTAACAGCAAGGTAATATTTATGAAGGGATTCAGGGGTAAACCAGTTAGCTGGATTTGAGTCCTGGAGGTGGGAGTACAGTATCTGCACTCTGAAGGAAAGGTGAGAAAGTCACAGTTCAGAACCCTCTGAACTGTGATGTCAGCATGCCTCAGGCAAGACAACAGCTGAATGACTGGCAATGAATATATTTCCTCTTTTTTGGGGTCACCCTAGTTTAGTGGGAGACAGTCAGTGTGTTCAAAAAATTCAGACTTACAACACCCTTACTCATTCAAGAAGTAGAGTATTAAAGCGAGGAGGGCCCTGCATATACAGCACTTCCTTTAAGTGTTTCACATTTTCACTGGGTTTCAATTGAGCCATTGTTCCACCCACTGGTAATGTTCGCCAATGGGTGGAATATTGGGATACTGGCTGTTTGGAGTGATCTCTGAACTGTCATATTTGGGGTGCCTCTGCAAAGGCAGTGATTATGTGTGAATGATGATGAAAGTGTTTCTGTCTTTTTTGGGCCACCCTGCCTAGGTGGGAGATGGCTGACGTGTTGAAAAATAAATAAATAAATAAATACATAAATTATATATTTTTTTTCAACAAGTTGGCTGTCTCCCATCGAGGCAGGGTGATCCAAAAAGAAAGAAAATCCCCAAAAAGAAAATACTTTCATCATCATTTAACACTTTCACCTTACTCATACATAATCACTGTCTTTGCAGAGGCGCTCTGATACGACAGTTTAGAAGTCCCTCTGAACTGTCAATATCCCCGACCCCTTCTTTAACCCTTTGACTGTCGCAACCCCATTTCTGAAACTGTCGTTCTATGTCACAAAATATTAGAAAAAAAAAATTTTCTTATGAAATGATTGAGAATCTTTTCCTGATGCTAATGACACCAAAAGTATGAAATTTGATTGAAAACTTATGGAATTATGCTCCCACGAAGTTAGCGATCTCAGCAATATATACGCACCGGCGATTTTGCCGACTTTCAGCCCTATTTTGGCCAATTCCATTGTTCCAGTCGAAAAACTCATAGCTATTTCTTTAGAACTCCATTTTTTCTATCGACTGAGTACAAGAAACCTCCTATTTACCAAATTCAATTACCCAATAAAGTGGTCAGAACTGGCAATTTGGCCAATTTCACACAAATTAAAAAAATGCCAATTTCAAAACAGGGTCCAGAATAAACAAGCCAAACATTCCTGGCACTAAAATAACATTTCCTCTGTTCATTAGTCACGTCTCCAGGCCCCTCTTATATTACTCTTGCTTTCTATTTTGATTTTTTATTCACACAAAAAATAGAAGGTTTACTGTTATGCAGACTACTGCATTATTGTAAAAATGGTATAAATAATATCAGTGCACTCGTGAAAGAATATTAGACTCACCAGTTGACGTGTATCGGACGCGTGGCATGATTTGTTTACTCTTGGACATTGGCAAAAATTTAACATTTCCGCTACTTTGAGCTCAATTTCAAAATTGTTTTCATCGTAAAACTAATCAGAATCGTCTCTATTTCTGTAATATGTTTTCCATTCTATTAAATGAGACAAAGAAAACAAGAATACAACCATATATACTATGTATATGAAAACACACCACAAAGTCGGCGTTTTAATCCAAAAACACGGTTGGAGTTTTTTTTCTCATTCTGCACTGCGTACTGCAGGATTTTTTTTATTCAGTGCACACTGACCACACAGAACCATTCTCTCACATGTGGGCCTACCAGCTTTATCCTGCTTGATTTGAAGCCGCTAGAATTTTTGAGTATATATACTTCCGAAACATTGGCTCATAAGACATACAGTATAGTATATACAGCCAAAACAATCAAAGGGTTAAAGTGCAGGCATTGTACTTCCCATTTCCAGAACTCAAGTCCAGCTAAATCCTTTCACTAAATATTACCCTGCTCACACTCCAACAGCTCATCAGGTCCCAAAAACCATTCGTCTCCATTCACTACTATCTATCATACCTTGTATACTTATTTATCTTCTTTTTCATAATTTTTTTTTTTTTAACAAGTTGGCTGTCTCCTACCGAGGCAGGGTGACCAAAAAAGAAAGAAAATCCCCAAAAGGAAAATACTTTCATCATCATTCAACACTTTCACCTCACTCACACATAATCACTGTTTTTGCAGAGGTGCTCTCGAACAGCCTTCTGGAACGAATTATGTATGAAACTCAGGGTACCACTGTAGTAGGTTGGTAGACAGCAGTCACCCAGGGGGGGTACTACTGTACTTCCAAGTGAGTGTAAAACGAAAGCCTGCACTTGTTTTACACGATGGTAGGATTGCTGATGTCTTTTTTCTGTCTCATAAACATGCAAGATTTCGGGTACGTCTTGCTACTTCTACTTACACTTAGGTCACACTACACATGCATGTACAAGCATATATGTATATACACACCTCTCTGGGTTTTCTTCTATTTTCTTACTAGTTCTTGTTCTTGTTTCTTTCCTCTTATCTCCATGGGGAAGTGGAACAGAATTCTTCCTCAGTAAGCCATGTGTGTCATAAGAGGCAACTAAAGTGCTGGGAGCAAAGGGCTAGTAACCCCTTCTCCTGTATATATTACTAAATGTAAAAGGAGTAACTTTCATTTTTCCTTTTGGGCCGCCCCACCTTGGTGGGATACGGCCAGTGTGTTGAAAGAAAGAAAGATTTATATATATTAGGGGTAGGGATCATCCTAGGAAAGGTTGAGAGGGAGCAATAGTTTGCCAGTATCACCACACGATACTTGCATCCTGCAAGCACTCACTGCCTCAACATACCGTCTGCCAATGTGAGCAAAAGCCATCGCATGAGCAGTTTTTACAGTGACATTTTTGGGAAATATTTTGGAGCAATGTTCTTCGACCGACTTGTTGTAGACCACCAAGAGGAAGCGCTGGTGTGGCCGTTGCTTGCACATCTGCAGTAAAGTTGTCGTCTTCCCAGTTCCGGCAAAAGCAACAATTTTCACAACCTGGTACAAAAGAAAATTATAACGACTTATAAGTTGTCATTTATATTCAAATAGTATACCATATCAAAAAATTACCGGCTTTAAGTAGAATGGTTATACCATAAAATCCATATAATATACAACTCCATTTCATAAATTACAGACTGAATACACTACCACCACAAATTATTATTATTATTATTATTATTATTATTATTATTATTATTATTATTATTATTATGCAGATATTTTAACTTTGAAAAATCTTTAAAATAACCAGAAAACTCAGAGAATGCACAGCATTATGGGCAAAACCTAGTCAAGTTTCAAAAAGTATATAATTTGATTCATCATATTTTGTATCTATACACAATATTAACTGGAAGTTTAAAAAGAAAAGACACAAAACACAACATAATTCATAAAATAAAAAAATACAATAACTGTAACTGCATAGCAGTAAAAGGTGAGAGGCATTAAATTACCAACTTACAATACAGTACAATGTAATATCAGTTATCTGAAGACAAATGGTTTTGGGACTTGACAAGTTGTTGGAGTGTGAGCAAGGTAACATTTATGAAGGGATTCAGGGAAACCGACAGGCCGGACTTGAGTCCTGGAGGTGGAAAGTACAATGCCTGCACTTTGAAGGAGTGGTTTGGGATATTTGCTGTTTAGATTGGCGTCTAAACTGTCATATCTGCGTGCCTCTGGTAAAACAGTGATAGTGTGAATGTTGGTGAAAGTGTTACTTTTTTGGGTTACCCTGCCTTGGTGAGAGATGACCAGTGTGTTAAAAGAAAAATACAATGAAGTCCGGGGAAGTAAACACAATGATAAAATCAACTGGGGCAACAACAGGCTTGTGTGAGTATGTTAGGATAAGATTTTTTTGTCAATACACCGACTGTATCCCACCGAGGCACAGTGACCTAACAAGAAAAATGAAAGGTTTTCTTTTTAAATTTAGTAATTTAGAAACATTATCTCTCAGTCCACAGCAAGACTCAAACCTGCAAACTTGGCATCAGAGTATACAGTACTAATTTATACAGAAGAAGAAGCAGTTACTAGCCTCTTGCTCCCAGCATTTTGGTCATCTCTTATGACACGTATAGCTTATGAAGGAAGAAGAGGCAAGATTTATTTACATTTTTAACCCTGGAGGGTCAGCCACCCAGGATAACCCAAGAAAGTCAGTGCATCATTGAGGACTGTCTGTCTTATTTCCATTGTGGTCCTTCAATCTTATTCCCCAGGATGCAACCTACATCAGTTCACTAACACTCAGGTACCTACTTACTGCTAGGTGAACAGTGACAACAGGTGTAAAGAAACATGTCCAATGTTTCTATCCAATTGGAGACCGAACCACAGCCATTCAATGTGTGAGGTAAGTAGAGACAAGTGGCTTATAATGAACATGCTGTTAGAGTGTGAGCAAATTATATCTTCAGTGTGTGAGCAAATTATACCTGCTCCCACGAGGAAAGGAGCTTTCGATATACCTTTACACCTTCAATGGGTTTTGTGAGTTTTCCCACTCCCACAGCTTGGCCCTGGGCCAGCTCCAGTTCCCTTGCATCAACAGCCCTATACAACTGATTAGAATACTCACATGACTTGGTTCAATATTGTGATTGATAATTCTCATTTGTTCATGAGTGTGCACAACAGGGGGCCGGCAGGGGATGAACCTGTGCAAAGACTGCTGACCCACGTGTTCTTCCCTGAGCCTGCCGGGGTTGTCAACTGGCGTGGTCGTCCAGCTGTTCTCAAACAGATACAGCGCATAATGCACGATGTAGTGGTACCTGTCACAAACAAGTTACCAACATGAGTGCTTCAAATGCAGCACTCACAAACCAATTTATGTTTTACAACCATTAAGTAGCAGTACAAATATGTATAAAGCATAACCATCCTCTACAAACAACTTGCTGGTAAGTAAAAAACTCCACATTATTCTCCCAAATAACTAAACCAATACTGTTGTATACTCCCTAAAAAATTACTGTATCTCACAATGTATACAGCACACATAAATCACTGTATCTCACAGTGTGTATACAGTACACATTTTAAATTTAGATGAATTAGACAAATGTACAATACTTGGATATCATCATTCTGATGTTTTCCCTGGATACAGAAGACTGCTCTTTTTTTATACCTTCATAATAAAGGTCTGTAGGTGTTGTGTTTAGCCCATCTAACCTGTCAGTACCGTATACCATTTATGTTATGATATTATTTAGCTGTTTACTTTCAGAATGATGGTGTTTCACAGTACCAATGCTAGTTGAGTTGTTGCAGAAATTCCTAAAAGTTGAGCAGGATGTAAACACCTGCTTATGACACACTGTAATGTGACTGCAACACAATCCTGCTGTTAGGTCATGCTATGTTAAATCTGAAAAATCTTCCAGACTCTTTTACCACATTAAAAGTTTTAGCTTTCATTTCATGGAAATTCTTTTCATTAAGTGAATTACTTACAGTTGTATTTCCAAATGCCAACAGCCTGGTTGATCAGGCCCTGATCCACCGTAAGGCTTGGTCATGGACAGGGCCGCAGGGGCGGTGACCTTTGGAACACCCTCCAAGTGTACTCTAGGTAGGTAGCCTAAATCTTGGTCAGCAAACAAATCGATACCTTAGTGTTTTGTCTGTTTATGGTGAATTGGGCTCAGAGCACCAAAACAAAATCTGGCAACTTAAGCTTCATAGCTGCAGTCTCCCTCTGGCCAGTGTTTTTCTCCACCATTTCAATGTGGTGATTATTCTCTCCTACCGAGAGACCCCTCATGCAACCGATCTAGTGCTGAACTATGGTCCAACCGAGTGGGATGTCAAGCTAATTTTTTTCCACTTAACAAAATTCTTTCATTATTTTTATACACTTAATGTATGTTGAAAATGGCATGAAATACTGACAGAGTGACAAATAAGACACTTGTGCAATAACTTGGTATCTTCAGTGTTGAAGATACCTACTGAAAAAGCCTACTGTGTAAGTGAAATATCTCAACAATAAAGATACAGATAACTGTTTAGTTGTAGCTACAGTGTGAGTAAAAGGTAAATGGGGTAAAAGGAAAATGGTATCAGAAAGTAAGAGAAAAGTGAAGGTTTATAAACTAAAGGAGGAGGCAGTTAGGGTAAGATATAAGCAACTACTGTACCAAACTGTTGCACATGTGTCCGACTCACATTTAATGTACAGTGGACCCCCGGCTTACGATATTATTTCATTCCAGAAGTATGTTCAGGTGTCATTACTGAACGAATTTGTTCCCATAAGGAATATTGTGAATTAGATTAGTCCATTTCAGACCCCCAAACATACACGTACAAACGCACTTACATAAATACACTTACATAATTGGTCGCATTGGGAGCTGATCGTAAAGCGGGGATCCACTGTATTTGCAATAACATCAAACTCGTTTTACCAAATAAATTAAACACTCCCCTCCAATACACATCATCTAATACAACATCTAATTTTGTTAAATCTTTATTTTTGAAACCTTCCAGAGTGACCCAAAAAAGTTTATAAATTTAAATTATTAATTAATTAACCTTGTTGGAAGACCAAAGTTCTTGGTGCAGTAAAAGAAGAATAACGCTAAGCAGTAGAATGCCTCGACAACATTACAAGACGTATACATTGACCCTTGATGCAGCAGCAACCGCAGTAGCGCGTCCACATGCCATACGTCATGGGAGACTGCAACAAAAAGTTGGGCATCAAACTCATGCCTCTCTGACATAAAGAAAAAAGACACAATACCATGACTGGAACAATACACGAATAACCTGCACATAAGAAAGAGGAACTTACAATGACGTTTCGGTCTGACTCGAACCATTTACAAAGTCACACTGTGACCTTGTAAATGGTCCAAGTTGGACTGAAACACCATCGTAAGCTCCTCTCTCCTATGTGCGGGCTATTTGTGTATACCTCTCTGACATGCTAAATTATTACAGTCATGGGGAAGCACTAAACCCACAGGGGCCATATAGCACCCAGGGAATGGAAAGCAATCAAGCTTGATCTGAGGAAGGGAAGGGTGACTAATTCCTTTCTCCTGCATCATGAGCTCCTCCACTAAAGTATAACAATGCTGTGTATTAGTCGATCACTGACTTTTCCAAAAATTCTTAAGTTTTCATACGTCTCATATATATATGTCCATCCTAGTTTTCAAGGGGCTTTAACGCTTTCAGTGGCCATCATGTAGGACTATGTCACTAAGGCACTCCTAAACTTGTTCTATTGTTCACTTACCTACCTCTCGTTTTTGTACATTTAAAAACTCTTACTTAAAAACCTATGTCTAGTTCTTAAGTAGTCTTTAATAATAATAATAATAATAATAATAATAATAATAATAATAATAATAATAATAATAATAATAATAATAATAATATTTCAACAAGTACATGATACAACTTATACAGACCATAGCTGACATCAATGATATATACTACTATATAGAAAGCCCCTTGTTACACAGATTATTTCAGGCATATTAGGTCAATTTTGTCTCAGGATGCAACCTACACCAGTCCACCAACACCCAGGTACCTGTTTTACTGATAGGTGAACATGGACAGCAGGTGTCTTAACGAAATACATCCTAGTGTTTCCACCTGTACTGCAGATCAACCCCCGGACCTCAGTGTGTGAGCAGAGTGCGCTACCAATTGAGCAAGGATTATTCTACCTGAAATGCACAGCATGTCAGTTGCTTTCTTGAGTGACTAACAATATTTTATTAGATGTAAAGTACAATACCTATACTGTATAAATAACAAAAAAAGGCACAATACCGTGACTGGAACGATACACAAATAACCCGCACATAAAAGAGAGAAGCTTACGAAGACGTTTTGGTCCGACTTGGACCATTTACAAAGTCACACTGACCAGAAGTGGAGCAGGACGGCTATATATAGGCAGGAAGAGGTGGTGGCAGTAGTAGTAGTAGTAGTACAAGAATGGTATATAATACCGACAAGATGAAATTAAGACACATGCGCAACACCCAGGCATGTGTCTTAATTTCATCTTGTCGGTATTATATACCGACAAGATGAAATTAAGACACACGCGCAACACCCAGGCATCTCTATCGTAGACATTTCGCCATCCAGCCAGCCACTGAATGGCGAAACGTCCACAACAAAGACACCCAGATGCCGCACATGTGTCTTAATTTCAGGTGCCCACAGAGGGAGAGCAAGCGCACAGAGGTGCATGAAAGGGGAAGTGGTGAAATAAATGAAGAAGGAACAGAAACACGAGACAGAAGAGAGAAAGACAACCCAGAGGAGAAAAAGGAAAGAGGAAAGGGGAAGAGGGAGAAGAAGAAAAAGAAAAAGAAAAAATGAGGAGTCAGGTTAAGTCATGGGTGTTCTGAAGTTTGGAGCATTTTACAATGTAGTGGGAGAGGAAGGCATCTACAGAGACGAAGCCAGGGCTAAGATTCATACAAGGAAAGTTGTGTATTAGAGAGGATTCAACTAGACGGCGACTGTTCGAGTTGGAAGTAGGGAAGACAGTTTTAGCAGAAGACCAGTCAATAGGATGGCTATGATCTCTGATGTGACAGAAAAGAGCATTGTTAGTGTCGGCAAGCCTAACACTATTTTTGTGCTCCCTAAGTCTGTCAGAAAGAGATCGACCAGTTTCTCCGAAGTATTGAAGAGGACAGGAGGAGCAAGAAATAGAGTAGACACCAGGAACATCTGTAGAGGGAGGAGGAGAGGTATGAATGAGATTAGTGCGAAGAGTGTTAGTCTGGCTAGCTGGTCTAGTGGCTAACGCGACGGGCTGGAGTTTTGAGACTCTATGACTGTGGGTTCAATCCCGGCCGGGGGTATGGTTTGGCTGAAGGTAAGCTTGATGTCTAAGGGACGGAGAGAATTGTTGAGATTAGAAAGACCGGAAATGTAGGGAAGGCAGAGGATAGAAGAGTGATAGGAAAAGTAGTGAATGTACATGCCACTGTGCATGTACATGCTTCCCCTGTCAAGAAAAGTGTTCTTATCTCCCTCTTTCTCCGTGCCCTCCGCATCTGTGATCCTCAGATCCTTCCAGCAGAAATTTCCACTCTTCATAATTCGTTTTCCCGTCTTGGCTACCCTTCCCATTTCATAGACTCTGCCCTCTCACGTGCTAAACGTAATTTCTTCTCTCCCAAACTCTCTACTCCTGGGAACTCTTCTATCCTCTGCCTTCCCTACATTTCCGGTCTTTCTAATCTCAACAATTCTCTCCGTCCCTTAGACATCAACCTTACCTTCCGCCAGACTAACACTCTTCGCTCTAATCTCGTTCATACCTCTCCTCCCTCTACAGATGTTCTTGGTGTCTACTCTATTTCTTGCTCCTCCTGTCCTCTTCAATACTTCAGAGAAACTGGTCGATCTCTTTCTGACAGACTTAGGGAGCACAAAAATAGTGTTAGGCTTGCCGACACTAACAATGCTCTTTTCTGTCACGTCAGAGATCATAGCCATCCTATTGACTGGTCTTCTGCAAAAACTGTCTTCCCTACTTCCAACTCGAACAGTCGCCGTCTAGTTGAATCCTCTCTAATACACAACTTTCCTTGTATGAATCTTAGCCCTGGCTTCGTCTCTGTAGATGCCTTCCTCTCCCACTACATTGTAAAATGCTCCAAACTTCAGAACACCCGTGACTTAACCTGACTCCTCATTTTTTCTTTTTATTTTTCTTCTTCTCCCTCTTCCCCTTTCCTCTTTCCTTTTTCTCCACTGGGTTGTCTTTCTTCTGTCTCGTGTTTCTGTTCCTTCTTCATTTATTTCGCCACTTCCCCTTTCATGCACCTCTGTGCGCTTGCTCTCCCTCTGTGGGCACCTAGCTCCCTTGCAGTGCTCCCCTTCCTTTGTATTTGACTGGCTCGTCCTCCTTATTCCCCACTTCTACCACTACCACTACTACTACCTCTTCTACTACTACTACTACTGATGAAATTAAGACACACGTGCGGCATCTGGGTGTCTTTGTTGTGGACGTTTCGCCATCCAGTGGCTGGCTGGATGGCGAAACGTCTACAACAGAGATGCCCGGGTGTTGCGCATGTGTCTTAATTTCATCTTGTCGGTATTATATACCATTCTTGTACTACTACTACTACTACCACCACCTCTTCCTGCCTATATACAGTGGACCCTCGACTAACGCTATTAATCCGTTCCTGAGAGCTCATCGTTAGTCAAAATTATCGTTAGTCAAGTTAATTTCCCCATAAGAAATAATGGAAATCAAATTAATCCGTGTAGGACACCCCAAAGTATGAAAAAAAAATTGATTTTACCACATGAAATAGTAATTTTAATACACACAAACTGAAGAAGACATGCACAGTTACATGACACTTACCTTTATTGAAGATCAGGTGATGAATGATAGGATGGGAGGAGGGGAGAGTGTTGATGGTCTTAGTGTTCAGAAGGGGAATCCCCTTCCATTAGGACTTGAGGTGGCAAGTTCTTTTCCGGGGTTACTTCCCTTCCCTTTAAATCTCTCAAACCAACCTTTGCTGGCCTTAAATTCACTCACATCACCACTAGTTGCTGGCATTTTTTTAATTAAATCGTCATGCAACTTCCTAGCCTTTTCACATATGATCGCTTGAGAGATGCTATCTCCTGCTATCTGTTTTTCGTTTATCCACACCAATAACAGTCTCTCAACATCTTCGAGTACTTGCGATCTCAGTTTTGAAAACATAGTTGCACCTTTGGCAAGAACAGCTTCCTTGATTGCCGTTTTCTTGGCCACAATAGTAGCGATTGTTGATTGGGGTTTTGTGTACAACCTGGCCAGCTCAGAGACACGCACTCCACTTTCATACTTAGCAATGATCTCTTTCTTCATTTATTTTATTATTTATTATCACACTGGCCGATTCCCACCAAGGCAGGGTGGCCCGAAAAAGAAAAACTTTCACCATCATTCACTCCATCACTGTCTTGCCAGAAGAGTGCTTTACACTACAGTTTTTAAACTGCAACATTAACACCCCTCCTTCAGAGTGCAGGCACTGTACTTCCCATCTCCAGGACTCAAGTCCGGCCTGCCGGTTTCCCTGAACCCCTTCATAAATGTTACTTTGCTCACACTCCAACAGCACGTCAAGTATTAAAAACCATTTGTCTCCATTCACTCCTATCAAACACGCTCACGCATGCCTGCTGGAAGTCCAAGCCCCTCGCACACAAAACCTCCTTTACCCCCTCTCTCCAACCTTTCCTAGACCGACCCCTACCCCGCCTTCCTTCCACTACAGACTGATACACTCTTGAAGTCATTCTGTTTCGCTCCATTCTCTCTACATGTCCGAACCACCTCAACAACCCTTCCTCAGCCTCTGGACAACAGTTTTGGTAATCCCACACCTCCTCCTAACTTCCAAACTACGAATTCTCTGCATTATATTCACACCACACATTGCCCTCAGACATGACATCTCCACTGCCTCCAGCCTTCTCCTCGCTGCAACATTCATCACCCATGCTTCACACCCATATAAGAGCGTTGGTAAAACTATACTCTCATACATTCCCCTCTTTGCCTCCAAGGACAAAGTTCTTTGTCTCCACAGACTCCTAAGTGCACCACTCACCCTTTTCCCCTCATCAATTCTATGATTCACTTCATCTTTCATAGACCCATCCGCTGACACGTCCACT